CCCCAAAACCCCAAAACCCCAAAACCCCAAAACCCCAAATTTTAATTTTGTTTGAATTAGCTAAAATATGAAAGAAAAAGTTTCTGCTACTGAGCTGTCCCACTGCTCTACTCCATTAATTGCCCAATGACAGTATCTTCAAGGATTTTTACTAGCGATTCTTGGGTTTCTTCTCTGGCATTTTTCTCAATGTTTATTTCGTTATAGACTCTTTTCTGGATGTCCTTTACTGCATTTATAATCTTTTCATGAAGAGCTTTCCTTTTATTTCCTCTCATCAGCTAGCAGCTGATGGAAGGCATTGATTTCTTGGCCAAGTCTTTTGACTAATTTCTCTCCTGCTTCTGCCCTACTTTTGTTAAGATAGTCAATTTCAGATTTGAGGTCATTGATCTGGTCTAAATTTTGGATGAAATTGGTAGGAGTACCTTCTACATCATGGAAGAAGTTGACGCTAGTCTCTTCACGCACCTTTTTCTCTTTAGCTAAAGTTCAACAGCCAATTTATACCTAGATCTAGCTGAAGGGAGTAGAATTTCTCAGAATGATTGCTTGATGGCTCAGGAGTATTATGTGCTAAGCTATATTGCTCATTTTGGATCTGGATTTCTAAGGAATTTTGGACTATTTTGAACTGCTTTGAGTATTTCTCTACACTTGGTTAAGCTTGAATTCCTACCTTGCAGAATCTCCTTCTCTTTATGCTCTAAAGAGGGTTATTATGGAAAGTACCTATGCTGATAAGTTCTTCAATCCTTTTGGCCTCTTCCTTAATATTAGCTATTTCTGTATTGCTAGCTCTGCTTAGTTCATTAATTTGATTATTTATCTGGGAAAGTTTGTCTTGAGATTCTTTTTCAGTTAATTTTTCTTGGTCTCTTGTGCTGAGATGGGTGCTGTTTAGCTTCTCAGCTAATTCAGCAATTTTAACTCTGTTAGGAGATTTGTCCCTTATAATTGAGGAAGACATTCCTTTTAGTACCATCGAGTTTTCTATGAAATATTTTACTGTTATAAAAAGAAGCATTAAAATGAGCTGAAATGTGCAAAATCTATTAAATTTTCCACATGAAATTGCTATTCGACCTCAGATAGGTCTGTTTCTATGTGTTAATCTGAACGCTTCATGTTCAGGGTTGGGTAAGAGGTTTAAACTTACCTCTGATGTCAGGACTACCGCTAATATTCATATTCAAATTAGTTTCAAATTAATTATATTTTTTGGGGTTTTGGGGTTTTGGGGTTTTGGGGTTTTGGGGTTTTGGGGTTTTGGGG